ATTCTTTTTTTTTTTTTTTTTTTTTTTGTTTTTTTGAGATGGAGTTTTGCTCCTGTTGCTGCTCAGGTTGGAGTGCAATGGCTCAGTCTCGGCTAACCGCACCCTCCGCCTCCTGGGTTCAAGCAGTTCTCCTGCCTTAGCCTCCCAAGTAGCTGGGATTACAGGTGTGTAACACCACACCCAGCAAACTTTTCTATTTTTTTAGTAGCGACGGGGTTTCACCATGTTGGCCAGGCTGGTCTCAAACTCCTGACCTCAGGTGATCTGCCTGCCTTGGCCTCCCAAAGTGCTGGGATTACAGGTGTGAGCCACTGTGCCTGGCCCCCAGGAATCTGGAGCATTTTGGATTTCAGATGTTCAGAAAGGGATACCACTGGTGAATAAACTAGAAAATACATACAAAGTTGATTAGAGGAAGCTTTCTTCCACTGACCCTCCCTCACACGATTCGCAAGGTGTATTGTTCATCCTGCCATATGGAAAATATGAACAGGAAGCTAAAAACTTTCATGCTCTTCTACCGAGAGCCCATATTTAGCCCAACATTTTATTTTTACACAGTAGGTTAGATACGTACTTTATTTTGGAGTCTTACCTTACAATTCACTTACATAAAATAATTAAGAACAAAACTTCTGTAGAAAGCAAGTTCCACTGTATTCTTTTCACAGCATAGCATCCTAAAAGTCACGAGGATCAGACCCATAAGCCAACCACCTATATTTTAAAAAACCACCACCACCATTCACATTGAATGTAAAAAAGAATGAGTAAGTCTTAATATGCTGGTATTGAAAGATTCCAAAGGGAGCCGGGTGCAGTGGTTTATGCCTGTAATCCCAGCACTTTGGGAGGCCCAGGCAGGCGGATCACGAGGTCAGGAGTTTGAGACCAACCTGGCCAACATAGTGAAACCCCGTCTCTACTAAAAATACAAAAAAAATTAGCTGGGTGTGGTGATGGTCGCCTGTAATCCCAGCTACTTGGGAGACTAAGGCAGGAAAATCGCTTGAACCCGGGAGGCAGAGGTTGCAGTGAGCTGAGATTGCGCCACTGCCCTCCAGCCCAGGCAACAGTGCAAGACTCCGTCTCAAAAAAAAAAAAGAAAGATACCAAAGATATTTCTTAAAATATATATAAATAAGATACTTATTTGTGTACATAGTTGTGTGTATTAAAAAGGCACATATATATCTGGAAAAAAAGGCATGAGAACTAAGTGACAGTGGCTACCCATTTTCAGAGAGGTGAAGAAATGGGCAAAGTAGGGATGACAGCAGGAGTGAAGAGGGAGATGTTTCACTGTGTATGTCAGCCTTTATAGCAAGTTAGGGATTCTCATTCCATTGCTCCCTTCATCCTACTCCATCCCTTCACCCACACCCACCCCACCCCCAGAACTGTCTTGCTGTTTTGTTTTGTTTTGTTTTGTTTTGTTTTGTTTTTTGAGATGCAGTCTCACTCAGTTGCCCAGGCGAGAGTGCAGTAGCACAATCTTGGCTCATGGCAACCTCCACCTCCAAGGTTCAGGCGATTCTCCCGCCTTAGGCTCCCAGGCAGCTGAGATTACAGGTATGCTCCACCACACTCGGCTAATTTTCATATTTTTAGGAGAGACAGGGTTTCACCATGTTGGCCAGGGTCATCTCGAACTCCTGGCCTCAAGTGGTCCACCCACCCTAGCCTCCCAAAGTGCTGGGATTACAGGTGTGAGCCACCTCACCCAGTCCAGAACTGCCTTGCTTCTGAATCGTACTCCACACCCTCACTCACACACGTACAATCACCCAGAAGCAACGTGTGGCAGGTATGCTTTCACTTTCATTGCCAAAGGACTCTCTCCTCATCTTGCAAAAGTGAACCTGTACTCTCAGCATCCATAAGACCACACAAACACAACCTGTCTTGGCAAGTTGCCAGGACCTTGGGTAGCATCCACAGCCCCTCCTCAATGCTCCCATCACATTTGCTAAGCCCTTGCTAAGTGCCAGTATGCAGGAGCATGAGGCATAAAGAGAAGTAGGACAAGGTACCTGCCTTCAGGGAGTTCACAGCCTCAAGGGAGAGAAAGAAGAGGAAACAGAGAATTTCGAAATTATGTGGTTCAGGAAATGGCAAAAGTATACGCCAGTGTAATTTACCACGTTGTATTTTAACTATTTTTTTCCTCTCTCTCCCCTATCTCTCCAAGGTGAGTGACTCTGGTGTAGGTACTAGATCCACAAGTATCTTAGAATCCCCTATGCTGAGCATGGTATTGAAATGATCTGAACTTCTTGTCTCCTGGAGAGCAATGCAATGATATTTTAAGAAACAAATCCATATGTCTTAATGTTTCAGAATGGTGATCAGTATACATAGCAACTACTAACCTGGACCTATGCAATGTATTACAATACTAGAATTTCAGCAACAAAACAAACATCTTTAACCTCAGAGATCCTCTGATCTTTTAGTCCTTGCTACACACTGTTGGCTTTGGTTTTGTAAATGGGGAAATCATGAAAGTTGACCCCATCTGTTTGTCTGTTTGTTTGTTTTCCCTAGACATCAGTGCACTCTCACTTGCTTTTACTGGTAAGACTGAAAACTTTCACCCACTAACCTTTAATTTCTATCCATGGTTAATCATTGGTAATTTCTTGCAACTTTCAGAAAAACAGTAATTCTCAATTCGACACAGGTCTGTCAATATGCATTTAAAGACCTCTTATACTTCAAACCTTGGACTTGTAGGTATGAAAAATAATAACATTCTCAGTATTCTACTCTTCACCTTTGCCCTGCCCTGAGCGCTATCTAAAAACCAATGACAGAAATGAATTGCAAACATAGCATGAAGCATTGCTGCAATTAATCAACCCAGAACCCAAGGGAGGAATTGTTTCTATTTTTAAATGCACTGTTACTTTAAGAGAAAAGTCTGTGGAGAAATATGAAACCAAGCTGCATAATGAAAATAAAAATGCATTTGGTGTCTTCATCTGTGCAAAGACAGTAATCCTAATGTACAAGGAGCACTGTTGTGTTGACTCCTCAGTTTGTCTATAAACGAAATGACCGGTACTCAGACAGAATCCCATGGAAAGCTCATCTGCTACTCAAAGAATTAGATCTGTCAGAAGGACAAAACATGAGAGTACCCATATTTCAATGCTATTTTTATAACTCCAGATAAGGGACTATCACAGTAAGTAAGCAGATGAATAGATCCCAAAATCACCCTTCAAATCTTTACCTAAAAAAGATCCTGATTAGTAACTAACGTGGTTCAGCCCGAAAAATGATCAACTGATTACTTAGCATTTGGAACCAACTGTCAACAGTTATAGATTGTATCCAAATTCCACAAAATCAAATCTGTTTCTCTTCACAAATGACAACACTTCATGTCATTAAACAGTAGCTAACAGTCGCACTCCTTATGGTTAAGAGTGACAAGGAGCAGGTGCCAAGCCAGCAAGGAAAAATAGCAGCAGCTACACGACAGGAGCTAAAAAATATTCTACCTGTTCCCCCAGACTGCTTTCAGGAATCTGACCCAATAGAATTTTTTCCCGAAACAATATAACGATATCCAGTTTGCAGGGGGGCTGGGGCGGTACATTCGTTGGTGATATGGGCATCTAATTTAATCTGTAAATATTTAATGTACTCAATGAGTTGACTTACTATCACCATGAAATATACCATACTATCTACACTGCTATAAATGCATCTAAAAATACATCCATTACTAAACAACATTCAGTACAATGTACAATAAACACTACATCCAGTGTTAAACACAACATTTTAAATATAGCTTAGCTATTTAGTAGCACCACTAGAATCTGCTAAAGGTAGCAGAATGTTTGCAAACTGGATAAAAACTGCCATGCTCAATACGAAAAGCAAAGAATTTCCAATCTTATCTCCTCATGATTTCTTTCCCCAAATTTGGCAAAACTGAGCTTGAACACCACACATTATAGAATGGAGGCATCGCTTCTCTAAGCAATAATGTAACAAACCCTGCCTCAGAGTCTGTCTTCAGTGAAAATCTCTGAAGAACGAAATTCACTAAATTGTATTCCATCGATCAACAGGTGATTCTTGGAAACAAAAACTCATACTCATTTCCAATGAAAATTAATTTTGTAAACTATCCCGTTTTTTCACACATATATATTCACAACCTACTGCATTATTATATGGAATGAATTCCAACCGATTTCTTCTCAGAGGCTTACTAGAAAAATGCCAAATATTCAAATTATTTTGGGGCATTATCCCATACTGCTGCATGGAACATAATAAGGATCCAACAGTTACCACTTTTCAAATGCAAATATGTTGCCATCTAGTAAATACAGCCCCTTTTTAAACATCCCTCAGTGTCTATACAGTTCAGGGCCCTACTTTTGTTTCTTTGAAAATCAAAATTCGCGCATTACATTGAGGCATTATCTCAACTCAGCAACAACAACTAAAATAGGTGTTAACTAGCCCAACCTGAGTCTGCATCGTACAAGACTCTTGCTCTATTTTTTCCTCCCATTTTACACACACTGTCCCTAAACAATTCTGCTAAAGGAAACAAACGCTGCAGTGACGAAAAGAATCCCGGGCACTGGGTTCCACGAACAATGAGGACGTGGGCTGGTCACCTGCCGGCCTCGGGCCTCAGTTTTCCTGTCTGTAAAATGTGGCGGCTGGACGAATCACCTATAGGGTCCCATCCGGCCCTCTCCCTCCCGGGTGCCTCGCAGCCCGCCCGGACTCAGCTGACTGGTGCTGGCTGTGGCCAGGGTGCCCTGCCTGCCGCCGCTCTAGATGGAGGGGAAGGCGGGCGAGGGAGGAGAGGAACTTGGACTTGCAACAGCTTCAAACAGGAGCGGGCGACAAACTTGAAGCCATCCTCCTAACAATAGGAAAGAGCACTCCCATTTTCCTGGCTCAAACTTGCAGGACCCCGAGAGGCTGGATCCTCCCAGCCGCCCTCTGGGAACCCGCTTTACCTTTCTCCCTGTTTGGTGTTAGCAGGAGGAGGGTGCAGGACCGTTTGATTCCCTTCCATCTCCACCACGCACTTGGTGTTCAGTTCCAGTTCTGAAAGCACACAGAGAAAGGGACGTTGCAAAGTCCAGTATCCGCGCCTCCAGCCCGCCCGCCCTCCATCCGCGCCGCGCGGGGCTCCGTCCCTGAAGGCTGCCGAG